TTTCATATTTCATGCTTGTGGCATGAGTCATACATTTATATAATGCACTTAGTTGTGCTTTGAGAGTGGTATTTAATTGACACGATGGGTCCACGAAAAGAATTTCAAGTGATATGCGAAATCTGGTTATTAAGCATAGAAATGAAAAAAAACCTTATGGTGAAAATATCAAAATTAGTAAATTTGACTCGATCAACAGTTCAGACTATAATAAGAAATTATAAAAATACTGGTTCTCCTGAAAATAAACCTCGCAGTGGCCGCCCAAGGATACTCATACGTAGGGATGTCAGCTTGGTTTTAAAAGAAGTTAACAAAAATCCGAAAGTAAGTGCCTTAAAATTAGTCGAACACATTACTAATGCAACTGGAAAGCATGTCAATCCACGTATAGTACAAAGAACGTTGAACAGCCACGGTTTTCATGATAGAATACCACGCAAAGAACCTTTAATTTCTGAAAAAAACCGAAAGCTGTGCTTAGAGTTTGCCAAACAATATAAAGAAAAGGATTTTGATTTCTGGAAGCAGGTTTTATTTACAGATGAATCGAAATTCAATATATTTGAACGCGATTGGAGAGCTAAAGTTTGAAGGAAAGCGAAAACAGCACTGAATCCGAAGCATATAATGCCAACTGTAAAGCATGGTGGTGGCAGTGCTATGCTTTGGGGAGCCGTAGCTGCAACTGAAGTAGGAAAAATAGCTTTGACGTAGATTAGCATGCTTCCTAGTTGCACTAGCAATGTGTTCGACTAAATTTAAGGCACTTACTTTCGGATTTTTGTTAACTTCTTTTAAAACCAAGCTGACATCCCTACGTATGAGTATCCTTGGGCGGCCACTGCGAGGTTTATTTTCAGGAGAACCAGTATTTTTATAATTTCTTATTATCGTCTGAACTGTTGATCGAGTCAAATTTACTAATTTTGATATTTTTACCATAAGGTTTTTTTTCATTTCTATGCTTAATAACCAGATTTCGTATATCACTTGAAATTCTTTTCGTGGACCCATCGTGTCAATTAAATACCACTCTCAAAGCACAACTAAGTGCATTATATAAATGTATGACTCATGCCACAAGCATGAAATATGAAAAACGGTACTTTCCCGTTTAACATTTATATTTCTGTCGACTATATCTAAAAATCAATGAAGTGTATGTAGACTTTTGTCAATGTTTTTTTTAGGTTTTTTTCGAATAACTTTGTTAATTTATATTGATGAATGGATTTTCTTTTGTTTATTATTATTAAAAAACAGTTCTAAACAAAACTGTATCATTACTTTTTTCTATTATGTCCTTGGATTTACGAGCTAGCAAAAATGGGGGGTGTATGTAGAGTTTTGTCGCTGACTGTATATATTTATACTCTGTGAATTTTAATTTCATGTCACATCAGTATACAATAACTCAGATCTAATATATGTTAACGAGAAACTTATATTTCTGTCACTTATATATAATATTCTATATAACTTATACAAAAATGTTAAACTTAAAAAATATAAATAGCATTATGTTGGTACCTAGGTTAATGCAAAAACAAAATAGTAATTGTGGAATGTCGGATAAGTCTTTAAGAAGTTAGGTACTTTAAATAAGTACACCACTTTAATTTAAGTTAATTTAGGTGTCAGAGTAAAGCAGTCTCACAGAGCTAAATATGTTAAATAATTCAGTCACTATTATTTATATGTAATGAGAGAAAAGTTTGAATAAAGTTTGAGGAAAGAAAACAGTCTCACCGAGTTAGATCTGTTCCACAATTCGGAAGCAATCATATAAATGCAATACTTTTTTCAAATTCGTAAACTCCTGCCTCCATACTACTTATGATAGCTTCAATTAGTTATTTTTAGAATTCATAGACTCATATCACTTTAGAAGTTATGATGGGTACAATAAATGTGGGATTTGTATTAGTTTAATCTGGCATGCCTAAAGAGACCTGCACACTGTACTGAGTTTAAAGAAAAATCGGCTCTTCTAGAGTAAACCGTATGCACACGTATCTTAACTGCAAAATATAGAAATACTCAGCAGAATAGAACAAACAGATCCAAGATGTGACACTTATGTCCAAATGATGAAATTTCTCCCGTGAGAAATTTTGTTCCCTTTGGAATCTTTGTCTTAGAAACGTTTTTGATAAATCTTATTCATATTTCCAACACGTTTTTTTAACAAGTTCGTAGATAAATTTACGTACGGAAGAGAAAAATAACTAATCATTCGGTTCAGTAGTTAAATATAATATTACCGACTTTAAGAAATAACATCTACCGTAAATCGTTGGTATAGTTTTTTTTTTAATTTCAAATTTTTGGAGTAAAATGTTTTTGATATATTTTATTAGAAGTCCTGTTTTAGGGTTAATGTTGAAAATAAGTCCCATTATTCGATGTGGTTTTTTTTATTTGCTTCTTTGGATTAAGCAATTAACTCTTGCAGTTACCGTCTAACATATTAAGAGTATACAAAATATATTAATAACCTAATTAACTTACCTGGCTAGAGCATTGGAACCCAATTGCCGTCGACCAGAGCTAAAAAAATAATTAAAAAAAATATATATTAATTAAAATTAAACAACCTGTGTATATTTGAATAATATGAAAATAATAACACAAAGAGCAGATAGAAAGCCAGGCCAAAATGTGTTTATAATGTATTTAAAAGGTAAGCTTAATAAGTGAACGTGTTCATTACTGCTTATACTTGCACATACCGAGTGTTTGAATAAGGAAACCCTACAGAGTTCAGCATAAGGTATGTGTGACATTGACATCAAGAAATGCAACTGGCTCTTTTATGGGCCATTGTTAGCGTAAAAAAAGGAAAAAATAGAATGCAAATGGTAGCAAGTATAAATATATCTAAAATGAATGCTTAAGTCTAAGAAAAGTGCTTACTGAAACGTTTTATTTATAATTCAAGACTCGAACTTGTAAATGCCCAAAACCACAAATACAAAAAGAAATTTTTATTCAAATGCGGTTGCAACAAATAATAGTACACTAGCGTGCAAAACAATTGTTGCAACTACTATTTCTATAGGTAGTAACTATATGGTAGCTATGAAATAATTTGAGGATGTTATAACGATAAAAAAAAATGAGAATGAGAAATTTTATAACCCTAAAAATATTTTATTCAACATTGCAATAGTTTATAATATATAATATATAAAATAATATATAATATAATATATACGATAATATAGATAAAACAATATATTTAATATTATTTATGATTTATTCAATTTATAAATAAATATAATACAAATCACCTTCCAGTAATTTATTTTTATTTTATTTAAATTTTAAATCAAATTTTTTTTACATTTTCTTTTATAACACAAAAAACAAGTGAATGCTTAACACTTTTGTCACCTGAAGGGTTGTAGTAATGAAGCCAATAAAATACGAATATGTGGCAACGCTTCAAGCATGAACAATTCAAATTTGAATTTATATTTCTTTTTTTCTTGACTATTTTTAAACAATTTAAAAACGATTTATTTCGCAAAACATGAAAAGAGCTGAAGAAACACGTGTTGCTTATTTAAAAATAAAACATAAAATCAATAAAAATAGATTCGTATTATTTTTTCTATTTAAAAGTGTAATTAGTTATTTTAATATTAAAAACAAAACATTTACTATATTTACCATCTTCTTTATTATAGGTTTATATTTATTGAATTAAATATTTAAATTGCCATAAACATCATCTCGAATATAAACCAAATAATTAATGATAGACACTCACAATATAAGTGAGATTATTTAAAACAAAAATAAAAAAATACAACGAATTAAAAATATTTAAATAAAAAAACATTTTAAATAAGAAATAAACATAATAAAAATATTTAAATAAATAAAATTATCTGTACTGATATTTGTTCAAGCATAACTAATTGAAGTATGTGAGCAATGAAAAATTCCATCTAATATAGTTGATATAAACTTTAATTTTAAATTTCATTTTTATTGAGATTTTTGCTTATATGAAAAAAAAATAAAAAAATTATTTAATATATTGCTGTAAGCAAAAAATTTGTTTGCATTTTTTAATATAATTAAAAAATAATAAAATTTTTCCAATAACACTGAAAAATGTTTCTTTAATGAATTTCACTCGGAATGCAGTTGTCAATTAAAATAGAAAAAATAATCTATATTTAATAATCAGAGGAACTAAATTGTTGGAAGTTGGAAAGTGAATACGAGTATAACAAAATATTATTAAAAAAAAAACAAGAAAGAGAATTTTTCTATTTTATTCTATTACATCAATATAAAAAAAAACAATCTAATTCAACGTATGTAATATAAGTACGTATTCCCGACCCATCTGACCCCCTTTAGGAATGAAGCCTCAATTTGACGGCAATTACTTGACTGATATCCACAATAAAATAGAATAAGATACTGATGATGCCGTTTTATAGTTGGTATTTATATAGATCTCTTGCGTCAAATGTGATAATAAAACAACGAAAAATCAGTAATTATGGGCAGGGAAGAAAATCGCTGGTCAGCCGATTGCACCTAATCAACCAACAAAATTTTAATTGAGTAATATTTGACAAAAACACCATGTATTGTATTCGAAAGAAATGTTCAACAAATATATTTACAGAGTCCTAAGAATATGTGATTAAAAAACCCATAGAGACAAATCTATAGCAAAAAGTTTAACATTTGAAAAATTAAAAGCAACCCGCAAAATCATATTCACTCTAACGGAAGAGCTATCCACCAGTTGTTCTCAACAATATTGCAATTCGACAAAGAGGTCAAGAAAGCTGGGCTAGTAGTATTTGTCAAATCTGAAGAAAATTGAAATGTGATCGAAGTAACACCAAGTATAACAATTTTTTATAGTGAAATCCATTTGCTCTGGATAATTACTTATAATTGTACTTAGACTGCACTACACATTCTATTGTTGGATTACACATACATCAAGTTAATGAAATATTGTTAAAAAAAATTATTTTGAACCATATACGAAAACCAAAAACTTCAGATATATAATACAGAGAAAAATGTACATAATAGAAAAGTTCTAGAAGTAAAGAAACAATAAAATTTTTAATTTATTCGAGTTTTAGCTGACCATACAGCTTTTCTAATGTTGATGGTTATTAACCATCATTACTGGCCTTCCTTAAATTTATTTATTGTTATATAGTTTTCAAACTTCAAGCACGAAGACTTAAATTTATAGCCTGTTAAATTTGGAGCATACAGTCAGGTTTTAGACAGCTAACCGCACTTTAATTGTAGAATTGGGGTTTATTAATTTTTTTTATAGTTTACAAATAAATTTACTAATATTAGTAGAAATAAATAAACCACAGCTATACATAATTGAATTAATTTTCTTCTTCTTATTTTCTTCTTTCTTATTATAGCTGTTTTTTTTTTTAATACTATTACATTGTATGTCATTCTACAATTAGTTAAAGCAGAAAAAAACATTGTTGTTTATTATTTTTTTTTGATCATATTTGTTTTTAAAAAAATTTAATTATAATATAAATATTAATTTTAATATCAGTGTTACGATTTTTTGATGTCATTTTACAGACACTTAGATTACATTGACATTTGCAACTAAAACAATTTGCATGTTTGACTTAAAAAGGCTATTTAAGGTTTCTTTCAGTATTAATAATACATGGTGTTAATTACTTCACTTACGTTTGTGATATGCAGTTAAATAACCGACAAGCTGTTTACCGCCTACGTTTAATATAAAGATAATAAAATATAATAAAAACAATATATATACAAAACAGTTTATTATTCTTGTAATACAATATACAACTGACTTACAAGTTGAGACTAAAGAACAATACTAATTAAGAAGGCACATGTTCAACATTTTTATTAAATTAAATGTAAGTAATAATTTTAATTCCAAGAATATGTTTGATGGGCGCATTGCCAATACAGCAACAATTAGCCCTCTGTGACTATTTTCTGTTTCCAAACCTAAAGAAATGGCGAAATTCACTTTTTTCCATTTTCGTAAAAATTCACGAGGTTGTCTGCTTTGAACGGCTATCAAACACCAATGGACGATGTAGCTTGCTCAAAATTAAAACTTTGCCCACTGGTAGATTACAGCTGACGGCAGCACTGTTGCATTTGGAGTAACTGCACGGGAAATTCAAAAAGACACTGACTTATCAAATCACTCTCGTAT